GTAACCACCATGAGGGTGAAGATATAGGCTCGAGCATCTCATGGGCAAATGAGTCCCAGTGGGCAGCATCAATCAAGGCCTCGAAGAAGGCGGTTGCCCCTTTGAGGCGGAATATGTGGGACCGAGTGTACTCAGTCGCTTACTTGGCCCTCTTCTTTTGCAAGTTTTCTCTTCCGGGGGCGAAGGGCTACGTCATTCGCTTGGTTGCTTCATTGTGGCCAGCATGATGGCCCAGGGCACTGGTTTTGTGTTAGCCCAACTAGTCTTGTGCAACATCTTCCATGGGTTAGGGTCTATTGCTCGTGGACAAGTCCCTTTGAAGGATAATAGCAATGAGGTCCCCCTGGGTGAAGGCTTCTCGGGGCGTTTTACCGCTAGCTTCCCGGTGCATTATGTCTTCGGGTAGCTTTTTGCATATTTTCCTAGGGCGTATGAGATCAATGGGAGCCTCACAACAACAACATGCCTGCATATGTTGAAGATTGCTGGGATGAAGGCTGTGGTTAGAGAGCCAGATGTAGCTCGTGAGCTCCTGACTGATGCATCCTTCTTCACTTGCTAAAGGCCTTTCCCTATTGCCTGCCCCTTCGACAATACTTTCATCGACGCCTTTGGCCTCGCGCTCAATAAGGTGGTTATTGAGACAAAAGAGGCCATGTACCTCGTGAGCATCTGGGGTTGCATCCTTCCATTTAGGGGAGTGGGGTCTAAGAAGTAGGAGGGTTACTTCCCTCACCGCTTTGCGCACCAGCATGGCCTAGATCAAGGGTGCTGCACCACCATTTATTTTTCAAAGAACTATGGGAAGAAGGGGGTGTTACATGATCATGAGGCGCCTAGCATGAGTCGCGAGGTCTGAACTGACCTCGACATGCGGATGGCTTGGGAGACTTGTCTCCTTCTCCTAGGGCGAAGCAGGTTTGTGGTTCGCCATTACGTCCGCGTGGGGCACACGACTTTGGGCTACCCACAATGGTGGGATTCATCTAATGCTGAATAGTGGGGCGTGGCTCATCCATGGCAGACCGCTAGCGGCTCTAAACACGACGGCAAGGTAGGAAGGCACTTCGCGCCTCCTCCGTTCTCTGTTATGTTTGGCTTGGACCATTAACCTGCTAACTGGCAAGAATTGGCCATTTATTAAGCGAGGATGAGGATGGGATGAAGCTGCTCTCGTTGAAGAGGAGGATACGACCTTTCTTTGACAACTTAGAGGTGATTTTTGGTTGGTGTGAAAGGGGGTTGGACCCATCCCGCAAGGAAGGGCTTGGCCCCGGCTCCGCCTTCTCGGGTTGAGGGTGGATCCCATTCTAGCTCGTCCGGATATGCTAATCATGCTTCGAGAGCTCCTGCTTCCGTTAAGCCCAAGAGCGCTCCTCCTAAGGAGAGGGAAAAGAGGTAGAGAGATAGAAAGAGGAAAAGGGGAAGAGAATCTTCGCTTGTCCCCTCTTCTCGAGAAAGAGGGAGCCGTTCAAATAAGAAAGATATGCCTTTAGCAAGGGTGTCTTCAGTGCCATCCCATGCGAGGCGGGCTTTGCACTCTCCTTCTGATGCATCGCTTTCAACTCCTGCAGTCGTACTGAGATCGGTTGATAGTTGGCCTGGATGGTCGAGCACTGGGTTCAAGGTGTGACTCAAGAAACTCCATGCCAAGGGTTGAGGTCAGCATGACTCCTGTCACAAGTAAGCGTATTGCGTCTCCTGCACACCCCACAGAGTCCGTTCTTCTTGCGCCAAAAGCTACACAGGAAGAAGCGGGCATTTTTAGGGCTCATCCTTTAGGTTCTTCGGTGGCATAGTCATTGGATTCACTTACCTCGGGAGGGCCTCTGGGAGGTTCTCCACTTGGGCTTCGCGCCGCCTCGAAGGCTTTGACACCCTTTGCCTCCAAGAACTCTATCCTTGATGTGCCTCCCCTCGACATGATTGGCTCTTCTACTCTTTCTCAGATGTCTTTAGGCTCCAAAGCGTTCATAGTGAGGAGGATGCTCTGTTTAGGTCTTCAGGGGTTAAAGGCATGTTCTTTATCGGACCTTGGGGAAAGAATGGAGACTTTCAAGGCTTTCGTAGTCAGCTTGAGGGGTGCATGGATCGATGGGGAAATCTTTAGCTGCCTTGATGGGTTGCTACAAGACCTCAGTGACAGGGGAGCCAAAGCCCTTACGTGCGAAGATGCAGCATATGCGTCTTTCGAGAGGCGCTAGGATACCTTGGAGAAGGATTTGGTCGACCAGCAAGGCCTTGTGCGGCAATGCACACAAACACGAGCTTGGCTTGTTTAAGAGCGAGACTCCTTATCGGAGGAGGTTGCGAAGCTTTCCAGGGAGCTGAAAATCATGAAGGTCGAGATGGAGTAATTGCAAGCTCGCGTGGCCTCACTAAACTCTCGTCGAGATTCCAGCTGAGAGGCATTGCACCAACGGTTGCGCAAGCTGGAGTAGCTGGATTCTGATGCTGTGGCAGTCGCCGACTTGGCCAATTCGACTGCCTAGGAGATTTCTTGCCTTTGGGAAGAGAAGCAGGTCATGCTTTGACGCGTTGAGGAGCTGAAGGCAATGATTGAGGAGTCTCTTGATTGTTTCTGAACGCGTAGGGCTTTTCTACTCCTCCTCTTCTTGTTTTCTTTTCTTCTATGGGATTTTTGAGATTCGCTCGGATCTTTTTGTAATCTTTTGGCTATAATGAATGAAGAGTTGTTTTGGTTGATGATGATTTTTTTTTTGAAGGCGATTTTAAGGCCTTGCCTTTGGGACCAATTGGGCCATAGGTCGTTAGACCTTTCCGCTCATAGAGAGAAGGGATTCAGTCGAGTGGGACTCTTCTTGTGAGGAAGTCTGCCCTTCCTAGTTTTCTTGTGGTGGTGGCGGCTGTTCATCCATTAGGACTATCTGACCGATTTGGATGTAGTTTTTCAAGATAGAGTGGACCCCCCTACAATTAGCCAAGTCATGGCCCTTTTGTTTGTGGTATCGGCACCAAGGGTTTTGGCCCTTCTGCACGTTTGACCATTGTTTTTGGGAGCACAAGGCGCTATCATCCCGTGTTGGGCCATCATGTCAAATATGGTAGAAAACCGTTCAAGAGATCATTTAGCTGTAGGAGACTCGTCGATTGACTCCTCTTGGATTGTGACCATTTGCGAGGCTTTTGAGGTCTTGAAAGCTTTCTTGAGGCTTTCAAGTTCGTTTTTTCCGTTTCGGATTAGGGCCTTGATGTGCTCTTTCAACTGGATGCAATCTTGGATTGGGTGTCCTAACATCCGATAATAAGCACAATACTTGGGGTTGTCAACGAATTCAGCTTGTTCTGGCCTCTTGACGGTGGGAAGTACCAATATTTCCTTATCGAGAAGCATTTTTAGGAGGGTTGACTCCCACTCCTTATTGAAGTTGTACTTTTGATTCAATCTATGCAATAACTCCTCAGTTTGGTGATATTTTTGTGGGGGCGATACGTTATTATAACTTTGATTCTCAGGGGCTTGTTGCTGTGAGTCCGCTTGGGTTTTGGTCGGCAACCCTCGTGACATATCCAAGGTTGGTAAAGGGGTAGCGCTAGTTGTAGGTTTAGTGCCGAGAGGTATGGTTGTGACGGCTGCACTGATTACATTTTTCTGTTGGTTGGTTCGGCCTATTTCCCCTGATGTTCTGAGCTTGGCTGGTGCTTGAGCTTTGGGCTCGTCCTCCTCCATGGTTTTTTAGTAAACTTTCAATCTTGGCAACTTCGGAGATCATGTCATAGAAGGTGGTGGGGTTAGAAGCCTCGACATGTAAGCCTATTTGCACTGCATCTGTTTCTCTCATGGGGTTGTTCAAGCACATGGCGAGGTCACGCCATATCTGGATATACTTTCCCACCGACTCGTTTGGCTCTTGCGTCATAGTGAGGAGCTCTATAGTTTGGACTTCCACTTCGGCTTCGAAGAAGCATTTGTAGAAGAGTTGTTCCATCTCCTCCCAAGAGTGGATTGAATTTGGTAGTAGTTGTGCGTAGCTTCGTTCTTGTAATTGATGGAATCTACAATTTCTTTCCCAAAAAACTTCATCATTTTGTGTATAGATCTTCGAAACTTGTGCCTCTATGAAGGTAGTGGTCCTCAAAATAGGAGTAGAATTGATGTTCTTTAAGTTAGTTTCCCGCATTTTGCAATGCTTCTTTTCATGTACTTTTTGAGTAGTTTTCAACAAAGAGTGCAAGCTTATTGTGGGAGTTAAGTACATCTTAAAGTGCTTATTCATGCCTTCACTTCTTTGAGTCGTTGACATACTGACTATGAATGCATCTGCCACATATGCATCAACCCACTGCATGCACAAACTATATGTTCTAATGAGTCATTAATTTTTTTGAAGATTATATTTCTCATTAAGGAGTTTCCAATCTGTCTCAATTTTTGATTAGATGACTATCTTCATCTAATTTCAACTTATAAAAAAAAAATGAAGGCTTTGATTCATTCATTTCGTACTGTACGATTGCGGTCTTCTTGTTTCAATTTTCTACGGTTATTTGCTATTTAGTTTTCAATATCTTTTTGCGAACATTAGAGATTATCAGTCCCCCCAGCTTGTTATGTAAAATATCATAAATATTCCTAGATTTCACCAAAGCAGAGCTCATCGAGTTTATCATCAACTTTGTTGCATTCAATATTGTTTGGTGTGATCGAATTAGTTTAGCTTTCTTTGGACTAACAAGGACATGGTTGTGATCATTTATAAACTTTGTCACTACCCACTAATTACTAGAATTTAAGCCTATGCATAGCTTAGCCTTGCATCCACACCTTGACTAAGGGATATTCCTTTTACGTACACAATTAATTTCTATTCTTTATCTATCCTTATTATTGTGTGCAGTTCTCTTTCGGATGCCAAACCCATGCACCAATACAAATGCCCGGTAATATTCACATGCATCTTCTTCAGAACCAAACTTCATTCACATATGGGATTCTTCTATTTCCGTATTTGTAAATTTCTTTGGAGGGGGGGGGGGGGGGTTGCAAGCAAGTGATCTTGCTCGATGGGTTCAATGTTGTCCCCCCATGTTGTCTTGATCTGATAATGTGGGGGATGACATACTGCCTGAAATGGATCGGCCCATCTCATGTACTTGAATGAGCCTATACAAAACAAAATTTGAATATGAACTTATGACTAACAGATTTTACACATAAAATTTAATTGTTGATTTCATTTGCTTACGAATCATACACAATGCATAACAATTGAAACACCTCCCACACTTATACAAGAATAACATCAAAATTCTAGCCATTTCAATATGATATCAAAATTCATGGAGTATTACACAAACGTGATTTATAGAAATAATCTAAGAGGAGATCTAATCATAAAGCATTTCGCTTTAAATGATAGAATTTTGTACTTCACAATACCTAATGTATTCTCCTTAATAGAAAATGCAAAGGCACCCAAAAACCAATTCTATTCTTAGGCAACAGGAAGGGCACATAGAATTCCTCAATTGCCCATCCAAACTTGCCTTCTTGTGGTCGGTCCTTTAGGAGATTTTTTTGATCCTCATAAGGAAGAAATTATTTTATATAGCAAGTAGAAGACACATGTCCAAGAAAATTTTGGAGACGTGCCAATCAAAATAGATAAAAAAGAGGTGGTTTGATGCCTGAGAGGAATAGGGAACTCACCAAGACCAACACATTGAGAAAAAGTCTATAATGTATGCAATGTATTCCCTGCAACCTATTGTCAGATAAGGGCAATCCCCTATGTCATGCTGCTTCCCCCAATAGGTACAAGAATTATCCATAAAGAATGAATGACATTTTCAATAAGATATTGAACTGCTTTTGTACTTCTATGAGGTTGTGATCAAGGACAGTAACAACTCACAACAAGGAAATAAGATAGATCATGCATCAAGCATAGAGTCCCCCAAATGTAAGTCTTCTAGCCTGGAGCCTAACTAGGTAAAACCAAATGAGTTCTCTCTATAAGTAAATGAACCCAGAGAGAGAGAGAGAGAGTTTACCATATCAGACCATATGAATCCACACACCTTACTCCATACACAAATTTAATATTTTGAAACCATAGGCAACACAATAATTGATAGAGAAATTTATAATAATTGATAAAAAAATTACCATCTATCCAATTCTCAAAAAGGAAAATTGGCATCAATTTATAGCATTATTGTACCTTATACTACAACGCTAGCGAAGGTCCCGTGCTTGTTCGTTGATATATTTCAGTGGGCTTCAATGATATTTTGACCTACAAAGAACGACAAAGATCCTAGGAGTTGCAGCAATGCGAACCTCCTAAAAAAGCAAATAACAAAATTATATAGTAGAGAAGAAATACATTTACCCATAAGTTGTACCCAAGCTTTCCTATATTCAGAGAACACAAGAAAAGTCTGTTGGGGCCCATATCAGGGTATTGGGGTTTAAGGGTTAGAGAGAGAGAGAGAGAGAGAGCCCTCTGTTGGGGCATGAGAGAGAGAGAAACATTGTCCTCTGTTGGGCCATGACAGAGAGACAGAGAAACATTGTCCTATGTTGGGGCATGAGAGAGAGAAAGAGAGGCTAGAGAGAGAACCAGAGCTGAGAGAGAGAGGCAAGAGAGAGAACTAGAGCTGAGAGAGAGAGAGAGAGAGAGAGAGAGAGAGAAGAGAGAAGGATTATACCTGATGCAGCAGCCTCCGGTGAGAGTGGTGGCGTGAGAGGGTGCAGCAGCCTTTGACGAGAATGATGGTGCGAGTAAGAGAGATCGTTGGGGCTAGGAAGAGAGAGAGGATAAGGAAGACCACACTGCATAGGCTTTGGTTTTGTTTGCATAGTTTAGAGAGAGAGATATTGAGTCTTGAGATGTGAGAGGAAACCAGGCTGTCAGGAGAGAGAGTACGAAATATATGACTTTTTGCCAGGGTATTAAATGAGTTCAATTTGAATTTGGGGCATCCTCTCGCACCGTTCATTCAATTACCACTCTCTCATCATCGTCGGTGCATCTACCTTATCTATGTTGCCAGGGCCTTAAACGAGTTCAATTTGAATTTTGGGACATCCTCCCATACCGTCCATTCAATTACCACTCTCTCATCACCGTTGGTGCATTTACTTTATCTATGATATAAATATATATATGGAATCCCTCCGGTCAGCAGGCTCGTGTACTTCTACAGATTTGCCCAACAAATAGGATTCAGGTGTTTTCCCAGCCTTTTCCTCCTCTCCCGCTCACCCATCTAAGTTATTTTTTAGAGAGAGAAAGTGGAGTTCTAGCACTAACAATAAGAGGTCAAAATTCATGGAGAACCAAAAAACACATAATCCATAGTTGAGAATGCTCCATGCTCGGAACCCATAGACAAGATGACCCAAAGACGGGAAGGGATAAGGGCTTGTTTTGGGTTGGGTACATTTTCTCTGCACATAAGGGAATAGTCATTTGGGGAACCCTGTGATTAGATGTCGAAGCACACATGTGGCAAATGTAGTTCCTGTCAAATACGAGGGTTAAAGAGAAAAAAGGAGAGAGAGAGAGAGAGAGAGAGAGAGGAGGATACATCGTGTCTTGACTAGTGGTATAGGAAGAAAGTAGTTACGGTTTACTTACTATTTCGTTTTGGTTAGTATAGTCGTCGTTGTACTA